ATACATCCAGATTCAAATCTACATGTGACTATTGTCCTTAGGGTGCTCCTTAGTTATGAATGAGTGGTAGTGTGGGAAGCATGGGAACAGCTCATTACTTTGCCCCCTCTAGCCTCAGCTCAGGATGGATTCAAAATGGTTCCCTTCACTTATGCTAGCCCCAAATTAGAGTCACTGGCTGCAGTCCCTGACCAAAGCAGATCTAGCACTAGGGACAGCCCCACCTCTGCCTGCTAATTAAAGGTAAGTTCCTTGGTGCTGCTCATCATTTCCCACCATACACAGAGGCTTCATTCAGCTTACTAAAATATGAATTGTCTGGGATCAGGGGAGCTACAGCAGCTTCTTTCTTTCTACATAGTCCCAGCTGCTAAAGATATTTGTACTAAGAGATAGATACTTTCTCCGTTCTCCATCAGAGCTATGTAGTTTTAGCCAGCTGGTGCTGCCCCAACTAGCCCTAGTATAGTGCTGTCACAGTAAGCACTAAGACTACATCCTCAAACTTTAAAAACAAACAAAATAAAAAAGGGATGCTGCAGCCCATGTAATCTGCACGTGCACTTAGGAGAGGTGTGTGCCAAACACCACAGAAATCATTATGTAAGTTACACCATCATTGGGCCTTTCTGCAACATTATTCCAGATGTGGGTGCAAAAATCTTAGCTTAAGCATTTGCCTTCAAACACTCCGGGTGAGCATGACGTACTTGTGACATGAACAAGCCATGACTTGGTGAGGCAGGGGTGCACTGACATGCAGCTCCTGGCTCAATTTCATTTGGCTGCCTAAGTACAGTTAGGTGGGAACTTGCTTGGCTGATGCATTCTTTGGCAGCATGATACATGAATTGCCATGCTGCAGCAGAGCCAATTGTCTGTTTGGGAGAGTCTCCAGTAACAGACATCAGAACGGCGAGTGCCGGGAACCTCATCAGGAATAATTATGAAATAGTGTGCCCTAAGGGGAAGTTTCTTCCTGTCTCCAGAGAGTGAAAAGTTGATAGGAGAGTAACAGGAGAGTTTTCAGTTTTTGCAGTATGTTTTTTTCCTACTACAGATGTGACTTTCCTGAGTTCCCATACAAATGCCCAATACCCACAGGAAGGTCTGGGCCTTGATACCTGTGCACATTACTCAGTCTTCTTACCATATATTATAGATACCATACGGAGTAACTGTGGGCATGCAAGGCCATTTAAACCTTGCCTTAGAACAGGAGGAAGAGGAGGTCTACAATGTCTGATCACTACTTGTATGCCTCTGTATAGTGAGTAAATCCCTTTCCTGTGACTGTAAAAAATACTCCCTCTTCAACTAAAAAAATAAAAATATCTTGTTCGCATGGTACAATAAAGATTCTGAACTGTGCTGGCTGTTCCAGTGCAACTGTTCTGGTGCACCTCCTGTCATATTATGGGACTCTTCATTAAATATTAAGCACGTTTTCTCAGTCTTCAATTGCTGAGTTGACTGGAGGATTTTTAAATCCATACGGGAGTAGTAGCTGCAGAAGTTGTGCTCTTCTAACCCTGCCTGGCAGCTGGAGAAATACAAAACAGTAAGTTGCTGACTAGTTCACAGTGGGCCAACAGATGGGTACAGATCAGAACAGCCACGGTGACCCTCTCTAGACACAAAGAAGACAGCTTTGTATGCAGTGGCTTCAGGGGGGACTTGCTAAACAAAGCCATCTCCTTTCCTTTCATGGGGGTTGGTGAAGTGGAAAAGTGCATTATTTATGAGTTTTCATCTCAAGTTCAGCTTCATGTTCTTATACTCCTGCACAGGGACACAGAAAGCCTCTGCTCTGCTCCTCTCCAAAGCAGACCTTTCCTTAAGCAGGTATTAGTCTATCTGAAGGAAGACATAACCTATGTCCTCTGGTCTTTCTCATGCACTACTGCCAGAGAACATACTGTATGGTTGATCCCAAGGACGTTCTTATTAAGGTCTGAACTGACTGGTGGGACTGGTACCTTTCTCTGTACAACTGATTGCTCTTGATGAGAACTTGTGAAAGAGATTCAACCTCCCTTGATCCAAATGCATATTTGCAGTTGAATACCGCAGGTCTGCATTTTCTTCAAAAACAATCTTCAACACCTAGTCTGTGCCCATTGCTGTTCAGTTCATCAGTATTTATTTTAGGGCACTAGCTGGAGAGGGTGAGAAAAGAAGTGAGCATTTTTCAATAGCAAAAGGCTTCAGATTTTTCAGCCACTCTCTTCAGTGTCTGTAATGGGACCAGAAGAGAACAAGAAGACCCAAATTCTGGGTGCTTATCATTTGGAATGCTGAAACTTCCATCTTTCCTCCCAAGTATAGGCTGGATGGAACAAAAACCTACCTGGTTTCCTCTCCAATAGCTGACCCAAGAAGGATAGATTTTGGGAATCCTTACCATTTCATTTTGTCCCAGTCCCATAGAGAGAGCTGTATAGCACTAAGGACTTGTCATTCCTTGTCTCAGCACAATGGTATAGTACATATCCCTTCTGGATCATGGAGCTGATTCAAGAACTGTGCATGAAATAGCATGGAATTTTGAGCCCTTTACTCTCAACCTCTGGAACAGTTATCAAGTGACATGTTTTATCTCTTAGCACATACCGTGCACTACCTGGAACTTGAGTTCCCCACCAAGCTGGTGTAGCAAGTGATAGGCTGATGCCCATTGCCATCTGACTAATAATCTCACACACTAGGATGACATTCTTTTAGAAAAAAAAAGGTAACTTTTTGTTGCCTTTATTATGTATTTGCAACTTTGCTGGGCTCCCAGCCACAGAAAAAGCCTTCTGACAGCTTCATAAAGTTGTCTGATCCCCTTTGTTGGCAGAGAAGAGGTAACAGGTGCCTGTGATCTGTCCAAGCTATTATTCCACTCCTCCCTACATTACTATAACTTTCCCTCCCTCAACCCATTCCCAGTGTACAACATCAGCCACATTTAAATGCCACCATATATGTAGCTCTGCTCTCAAATCATGGCAAAATTTTGTTATTGGAATGGGACATTTAATGCACACTCTGGCTTCATTAAGTCTCCAAGAACCATCTTGCCATCTCTGTTTCTTATAGCGAAAATCCTTCTGAATCTCCCCAGAAGTTTGAGACAGGTGGAATGAGGATGGTGTAAATGTCACACTTCAACTGGTTCAAGCTGATTCAAATGGACTCGCATGAGCTGGATGCTGTTTAGAATCTTTTTCTGGTGACCAACCAGGGTGATGCCAATTCGCTGGATATCTCTGCAAGAGAATGGAGGGTGTGGAAGGTGTTAAAAACGAGCTTCTTGTTTTGAACAGTCCCTGTCCATCTCCCTGCAGCTCCGTATCAGTGTGCGTGGATATGATTTTTGTGTGAGAAACAGTTGATAAGGTTTCTGCTTTTGCTTGGCAAATGTGAAGTGGGGGTGGAAAGAGGCTATTTTAGTCTCAACTTGGTAGGTTATGATACAATAAGAAGCAATGGAAGAATGTTCCTTCTCTTAGCTCCTGTCTTTTACATAACATTTCAACCGTATACGGCATGGCTGGTTCTACACATCCCCCTGAAAATTGTTATTACCTATGGCACCTGTCATGAACATTTTGATGTGACAGTCTCTCTATAACACTGTCAATATGTTTTGTAGTGTACACAGGACCTCTAACAGCGCTTATAGAAACAGATTACAAATGTACAACTGTATGGAGGGTGTCCATAGGCCTAATAAGATGTAAGAAAGAGTAACTACTATGCTCTCCTCTCCTTTCTCATGTGTATGTTTTCTCCAGACAGTTCTTACTCCGCATCTCTCAGCCTACTTTCACTTTCCAGGAGGGTCTTTTCTGCATAGAAAACTCAGTGTCTGTTATTTCCTGCTGTCTGCCCCTCTACTTACTCCAGAGTCATGCGTGATATGACATCAAATGCGATCAGACCAGCCTGGTCAAAATTCTCCTTGTAACGGCCCATCTTGATGGCATCCAACCACTCATGGGCACTGCTGAGTGAAGGGAAGTCTGGAGGAGAGTTGCTCAGCAGAGGCTGAGATGGTCTGCAAAAGAGGTAAGTTCTAAAAGCCCAAGTTACTATCAGCTGACCACACTGTTAAGCTCAGAGTTAAGAAAAAGAGAGAATTTAATCTCAGAACAGCAGAGAATGCTGGAAGACAATGGGTTTTGTTCTTCATGCCTTGATTTCCAGAGTCCCAGCTTGATGTCCTGTTTCTAGGTTAGTTGTCTCCCCACTTCTGCCTAAAAACAATCAACCCAACCCAAGGAGCTTATGCTTTCTCCCCGGTTTATATTTTCTCAGGTGTATTCTCTTCTTGTTGCCCCAGATCCTTGCCATATTTTCTGGGTATAGAGCTGTCTGCTGAGCAAGGACTTGCAGTAGGGAGGTTTTCAAGGAAGAGAGATGAGACCCTGTATCCTTCTGCCTTTGTGACTCATTCCTCCTCTCCAAGATGCTGTCCTTAGACCCAAACAGTAACCTATGAGACAGGAAGTGGGTCTTCTGGGCTCCAACACCCATCAAATTATAACATAGCAGTCAAAGGGCAAACAAAACACTGTTTATAGATGGCATTCACTGTTCTCTCTGCCCTCCGAATCTGTTCAAAAGCTACAACTCTCTTATGTTCTAATTTTCAGTAAACAGAGCACAACTATGCACTTCTCCTTTCCTCTACTCAGGGACTGCATTGCAGTGGGCCAAGGTTTTATATCCATGGGAAAAATCCTCCAGGCCAACAGCCTGACAGCCATCTAATCTTGGCTCCATTTACCCCCTCCCCCAGAGACTTCTCCTTTACTGAACTTCGGCCTCTGGTTTCATCAGGCTGCAAAATGCAGATGGGAAAGTATGGAATGCAAGCCGCAGTTCTAATTACAGTTCTAGCTATAGATTTTCTTTCCTCCACAAGCTAAAGTCTTCTTGTCCTTGGTCACCTCTTCCAATATCTTGTGTAGCTGCACCCAGAGCTGCCCCCTCCTTTCATCCCTAGGGTCTCTCACTCACATTCATTCTAAGTGTATCTCATGTAAAGGTTTATCTCTCCTCATACGCAGCACTCACAACTTCTAATTCATCTTGATCACCCGCTAAGTGAATCAGATAATACAGTTCTTCTTCCAGTCCCTTCCCTCATTTTTTTTTTCTTCCTAATTGGTCCCAGTCTCAGATGAGAGGGCTGGATAAAGACCATACAGCCTGATTCACTGTCGTCTTCTACTCATGATGCCTACCCAGAAACCGGCCCTATTATTTTGCACTAAATCTTCATCTTACCTGCCGCTCCCTGTGCCAGTGGCTTTGAGTGCTGATGGCTTGCGGATCATTTTATCTAGGGCACTGACTATTTGCTCAAATTTGGGTCTCTGGACCCGCTCCTTCTGCCAGCAGTCAAGCATCAGCAGGTGCAAAACAGTTGGGCAGTCAGGGGGTGGTGGCAGGCGATAGTCCTGGTCAATGGCATTTATTACCTGCAGGAAAAGAAGAGCAATGCTTGATCACAGCTGGGAAAACAAAAACAAAAGACAAACAAGCTTCAGTCACTAGGCTGTGTATAACTTTCTTCTACTCAAATTGATACACAGGAGAGAGGCAGATGAACATTCTCACCGCTTCCAAAACTTACATCCTGATTGGACATGTCCCAGTAAGGCCTCTCGCCATAGGACATCACCTCCCACATGACAATGCCATAGCTCCAGACATCGCTGGAGGAGGTGAATTTGCGATACTGAACAGCTTCAGGGGCAGTCCAACGGATGGGGATTTTGCAGCCCTAGAGAGCAGTGGGAGAGCAATCAGAAAGTTAGTGAGATATGGGCTATGTGAGGAAGTGATGTTACCAAACTGATCAGATGCCAGCAGCATGGCACAAATCTGACCACAGGCTGCCAACTCTGTTAACATCGTCTCGTAGATATTGCTGCTTTAAATTCAAGCTGTTTAAGGTCTCCACCTTGTTCTATTGAGACATGCAGATGAAGATCTAGAGCCAAGCCCCCTTACTACTGTAAATTCCATGCTGTAATGGAATTTAACCTTTATAACTTTTTTTTTTTTTTGGCAGCATTTGCAAGGTGGCAGATAATCTAATGCTCCTGAAAGTCACAAGCATTAGGACGTCTTACAGTCATTTAGACAATCCCAACTTGTAACACCATGGACAGCTACACTGAGTGACGAGCATTAACTCCTTCCTCTTTTCATCTAAACCCATTTGCAGAGAGAGAACCCGTCTGCCAGAGAGAACTATAGTTCAGGTGCTGGTTCTTCCAAGCACATACACCTAAAACTTGTCTCCTTCTTCAGCTACCGGATTCTTCTTCATCCCCCACATACCAAATGCTGGTTTCAACCTGCCTGTTATACTCCTGCTGCTTTTGTGGTATGTATAATGGCTGTCAGAACTTTATAGAGAGTAAGTTCATTTGATGGTTGGTTGTAAGCCCCTTCAAGGGATATATTTGATGGGTATCTATCTTGTTTACAGGAAAAAACTAATCTTTCCTCAGAGAGTAGTAGTACAGTAGTACTCTACAGCCTACAGTAGACTCTACAGTAGTAGAATCTTAAATCTCTCCTTCAGTCCTTTATACTTCCTGTAAGAAATTGATGAAAGGGGAAGATAACGCCTACTTCAATTTATGGGGTTTGTCCTGTTCACCATTATTCCCCAAAGAATTGTACTGACAGCTCAGTTCACATGGCAGAATGGATCAGATTTTGAGTTATTCTTGTTTTTTACTGGTTTGGAACAGACAGTCCCAAGGTGAAAGGCTCCACCCCACCTTTCTCTCCGGTCTCAGGAAGAACGAAAAAGGGTATGCCAAAGAAGAACTCTGTACCACAATCTACTGAACGTTCTGTGGGTATGAAGGACACACAAAGATTCTACACAGAGCTAATCAAGGAGGAGCACGGGGCAAATTTATGCCTGGCAGCACAGCAGTAACTCCCTCCATAGTGGTAACTTACCAGAGCTCCAGTGTAGGTGGGGTTTGAAGCATCATCTTCCAGAAAACGAGACAAACCAAAGTCTGAGACCTTGCACACAAGGTTGCTGTTGACTAAGATGTTACGTGCTGCAAGGTCACGATGCACATAGTTCATGTCTGAAAGGTAGCGCATGCCAGCTGCAATCCCTCGCAACATTCCCACCAGCTGTAACACACTGAACTGTCCTTCCTTCTGCTGCAAGTGAGGAGGCAAATAAAGGTTTTTATGACTACAGGACATGAAGCCAACAGGGAATAGCAAAGAGAAATATAACAAGGTGGATTCATGAAGTTAGAGTACATATGTCTTAAGTTCAGCCAATCTCTGAAGGTTCAAGGACAGGAGGTAAGAAAGGAGGATGGGTTGCTTTAGGCAAAAAACCTCTAATAAAGTCAGACACCAGCAATCTACTTCTGGACACAAATCTCATCTTGTGACTATATTTTCCTTCAGCATTCTGTGCCTAGACATTCTGTGCCTTGTTACCTACTGAGCTGGCTAAAGGAAGGGGGGCAATCCAAAGACAACTTTGCTCTTTACAATGAGTTCTATGCAATTCTATACAATGGATTCACGTGCTCTTCCAAATGTACTTGCCAAGCTAGTTGTGATTGATTCAACATCTGATTCAGTAAAGAATGAAATGAAAGAATCTATACTACAGAAATATCTGTATTTTTGTTTCACTATTAGGGAAAAAAAATACACTGAAAACTGAGAGTGCTAAAAAACCCTACAGTTAGTGGGAAGTTTAATTACTTGAAGTCACCTGAAAAGATTCAGTGGAATAAAGCCTGAAAAACATTACTAGAAAGGCAAACTTTGGAGCATGTATATAGTAACTGGAGGGGCATGAGCAAAGGAAAATAATTTAGTATTGATTATCAACAAATATTTGAGTTGGAGAGATCTAACAGAGTATAGAGATTTTATATGATGGGTGAGCGTTATTACCGTGCTGGCCCAACAAACATTTAATCTGGTAACTTGCTAATATTTCTATTGCACCTGCAGAGAGCAATCGAGATGTTACAGAGACAGGACAAGAGGAAGGACAGATGAAATTAACAGATCTGAGAGCGGCACAGTGCAAGGTGAAGAAGGAACAGTTGTTGGGGACTCCAGCTCGTGGTACCCTGAGGAAGGAATCCAACGATCCATTCTCCATGAACTCTGTGACAATCATGACCGGTCGGCTCTTGGTGACCACACCCTCCAGGTGGATGACATTGGGATGCTCAAACTGCCCCATGATGCTGGCTTCGCTCAGGAACTCCCGCCGTTGTTCATCTGTGTAACCTGACTTCAGGGTCTTAATAGCTACTGTGTATTCACGCTTCCCTGGGGGTTTTAGGCGCCCAAAACACACCTCTCCAAACTCTCCTGCCAGGGAGGGAAGAAACACAGCTCAAGTAAGGCAACACAGCAGAGAATTTTAGTTTTTGTGCAGTACAATCTTCTAATATGAAAAACTCCAGGCACTACTTGGGAATAGGGTTACTGGGCTGTTACTGAAGGCTCTGAATTCAGCCAGCTTGCAGGCTACTATGACATATCTTCAGGGTTGAAATGAGGCACTCTGGGTCTTCTCAGGGTGTTTTCAACTTGCCTTGGGGCCAGCATCTTAGGTTAATTAAGTTAAGGTGAATTTGAGTAAAAATGAAGCTTAGCTATCTGGAGAGACTTGATGTGCCAGGAGAGAGGGTAGGGTCCATTTCAGGCCAGCACGCTGTCAGGTCTCAAGGTAGACAAGAAGGCACTTCAGAATCTGTAGTTTCTCACGCTACCTGATCCAATGACCTCCTCAATCTTGATTAAGGACACATCAATCTCCTTGGCAAACTCTCTAATAGCTTCATTGGGATCTTCATAGGTTGAAGGGTCAATGTAATATTTCACTCCAAGCCCTGCAGTGGAGAAGACAGTCCAAAACATCACGAGAGTCAGCCCTTGAGAGAAATGGGTGCTAGTGAGTCCTGAAGAGAGACAGGCCCTTGTCATCTGTTCCTCAGGAACACTTACCTCGTGCACTGATATACTGCTGCAGGCGGTCTGTGTATGGAGTCTCTCGTCTTTTACTGCAGGATATAAAGGAAAAGAAAGTCAAAACACACACACGAGTCTCCCATAGGATGCTGGAATAGGCTTCCCAGTGCAACGCTCAGAGGATCCTTGAACTCAGGGATGGAAGATGGGTATTAAGGTCCCAGCCTGCCCATCTTTTGGTAACCAATGCAATCTTGTTTTCTACGTGGAAGTTTTTAACAGCACTGTGTGCAACCCCAGTTTAGATATGACAAATGACAGGGCCTCCAGCACTATCCTGAAAAAAAAAAAGCTCTGTAGTTTAGCATTACTATCTTGGAAGTTTTCTTGCTATGTAGGCTAAACTTGCCTCTTAATTTCATTCAACTGCTACAAATTATTCAATACCAACCTAAGTCATCTCCTTCAATGCCTTTTAAATTCTTCAAGAATATTATCTTTTTAAGAGCCATTTACTCAAATTTCACATACTTAATGTGCTTAATTCCCCTTTTCTCTTCCCCCCGCCCTAAGGTTAATTCTTTATTTTTGCTCTTAGTCTCTTAATAGCATTTACTCTGGCAAACCTTTGCCTAAGTATGGTACCCAAAACCAACTGCACAGAGCCATATGGACAGAAATCTGTTCCATGCTGTGATCTCTGTGTGTACAGATCAAAAAAGATATGGCCTTTATTACTGTAATATTTTTTGCAAAGATGCATCTGATTTCCAGTCAGCATAGGTGCTTCTCAGCATAGGCGCTTCTCAAATTTTGTCCTCTCAAATTTTGTCATTAAATATGTGTCATTCAAGCCATTTTTCCACGAGCTAGCTGTTTTCCAACTTTCATCCTATTCTTGGTTTGCTGATAATATTTTCTGTTTTTCAAGTCACTTCCTTTGTTCCCAGCAATGTTTGCAGTTCTTTCCAAAAAAGTATAATTCATGCTAGCTTACAAGCTTTTCTAAATCATATTAATTAGACTAGATCCCAAATCAAACCTGTGGTATCCTGCAGTATCCCTGTGGTATAAATGGATTCCAGTCAACTCATATGCTTTACTGTTTAATATCCATCTCATGGTTACATTTCTCCCGCCTCTTTTGAGCGAGCACAAGACCTTCGATTTGATTCAATTAGCATCTGAAATCAGAATTTCCTGAAACATGATGTTACTCTGCTTTACTAACAGGACCAATCCTATCAGTTTGCTGGAAATTTGGTGTATTATACTTACTTGGGGGCTTTTTTTTCCCCTTAAAATTCTACTAAAATACTATAATTGGAGTTATTTCTACCTTAAAAATCTGTTCTTTTTACTGTGGGAAGAAACTGGCAGGGGGCTTTTTACCTAAGACCTATAAATGTGCTATTGCAACTGGAAAGACAGGTCTACATTATTTTTTTTTCTTGGTCATTCATCATTAAAACAAACAAACAAACAAACAAATAAACAAATGATTAGCTTAAATAGATAAGTCTTTCACATTGTATATTGGCAGGACACTGTGTACTAACAATTTGCAAAAACAAGTTAAAATTATTTATTTGTCTCTAAATACATTCAATCTTTTAAAAAACTCATTTTATATGGCCTTCCTCATTTCCTACATCTTCAAACTTACTCTTCTAGACAAATTTAAAACATGAATTTGATATCTCAGCTTTTTCTTAGCCACTGTTGATTGCACATGTTCCCTCCTGTGTAAATTAATCTACTTTTTATGATATTTCTTTTTATGTAGCTATATTTACAGAATCTCTTTGACACCCTTCCCCAAAGCACTTTTAGTAATATTAACTCATTCTAGTTTAGGTTTAAGTTTTTTTAGAAAAATATATGCTTTATTGAGTTGTGCACATAATATCACATTTCCAGCTGTAACAAGAAATTATATTTTTAACAGTTCAAAGCTACAAAAGGAGGAAACAATGTAAATACAACAATATTTGATAACTCTTGTCTTTCCAGAAAGAAAAATAATAAAATAGAATATACATAGAAAAAGAAAACCAATACAGAAAGGGGAAGAGAACAAAAAAGAAATACCTGAAACTAGATGTCACTTTTCTAAAGTTAAGCAATTTAAAATTTTCTTTAGCTCAGCAGAAAGAGAAACTAAAAAGACCCTCTTGTTTAGAGGTAGAGTAGAGCAAAGATACAGAAATCCACTACTGACAATCTAAGGGATAAAGTTCAAAACTCAGTAAGTCCAAGAAGTGAGTGTTAACTGTTTCTTTTCTTCAGCTGTCAAAAACACCCATTCCTTACTTTCGTACCCCTGCAAAGCTCTGTGAGTGACCCTTATTTCTCTTTCTGTCTTTTAAAAATTCTGTCCTTCTCTTTTGCCATCACAGACTATCTCTGCATTGACTTATCTTCCCTTTTTTTTCCCCAAAATGGCAGGTGCTATTTGCATTCTTCAACCTAGATTTTATTTGAGTCTGTTACATGGAACCATCTGGGATGTACAGCTGTTTTTTTCTTTAGCAAATGATCTATGGTCTCTCATGTTTCTTGATTAAAAGATATTTTGCAGCTCCTCAGCATCTTCTAAATAAGTGGGTCTAAATACTTATTCCACCAGTCTTTCTTCACTACATTGTTTCATTCTCTGCTTGCTTGCCTATGACTTAATTTACAGTCCTTTTCCTGAAGTAATTCATGTAAATAAATATTGAGAGCTAGCTTTAAAAAGCTTCCCTTTTGTTCTCATTGCTACCTAGCCAAATCTCAGCTAAGTACATGAGTGTTTTACCAAAGGACAGGCACCTCAGATGGGAATAACGGGGCAGGATCTTCCTTTAAATTCAGAATGGGATCTCAAGGGCATTTGAATGAATGTCGATCAGGCTGTCTCCCTCGGGAAAGGGTTATGTAGCAGGGGTAAAAAAGTTCCACTTTCTGGGGTGCAGGCACTGGCACATGAGCAGGTCAAGGAATTCACCTCTTGAAGATGATGGCAAGGATGGCAATGGCAGCAATTACCAAGAAGGCTAGACCACCGAGTGCTGAGCCCACGATAAGCGGCAGTCGGTCCTGCACCATCTCCGAGCGCTCCCCTAGCAAGGGAGACACACACACACATACACAAAATGCAGAGGACAAGGGATGTTAGAGTTTACCTTCTACTCAGCTGGTTTTCACCCATAATTCCATTCCCACCAGTCCTCTGCTTCCCAGGTGAA